AGGATGAGACCATGCTGTGCGCAGGTTTGCAGAAGGAGCAGGCCATTTTCTTTCATCTCGCCGAAACCATGAGGACCTATAACTCCCCTCCAGGCAAATGGTCTTTGCCGACCCGAGCGTTGAAGTCTCCAAGGACAATCAGCATGTCCGACCTCGGCACAGTCTCTAGGAGGGCGTGCAAATCCTCGTAGAATTTGTTCTTTATCTCGTCGTAGTTTGTCATCGTGGGGGCGTAAGCGCTGATGATACTGGCAAAGTGGTCAGAAGTTTCGGCCTGGTCTACAGGTTGGGATGTAGCCTTTCAACATGGCTTAATGATGGGGATGCTGCTGTCACCTAGAAAAATACTGCACTGCTAATACCATTTGACCGGTTTCTCACTGTTTGAATTCTGGGGACCCCGAGGCCCACTGGAGTGGTTTGTTTCTGGATTCTGAACATCTAACCTGCCGGAGTAATTTGAAGATGAAGATGAATCATGTAAATACTGCGATATAAATGTACTTCCGTCCCAATGTCTGCTGAAGTATTTACTGTTGTTGAGTGCCGCCACTGATAAGGACGTTTTATTTACCACTCTATTAGGCAATGGATGACGCTTACGCTGCATGGAGTGCCTTTTCGCCACTTTTGTTTAGAGCTTGAACATGTATATCATAGGATTTCCTGTTCAAAGCTAATCGAGCATCACCCCTAACAGACAGTCACTTCATCCGTAAACTGTTATATTATATCCGCCGCTTGCGTTCATATCGCACACCGCGAGCCCTTATCTGGCGATTTATAGATGTCTACATTCTCCCCCTCATTCTTTTCTGCTCCTCAGTTATTTTTACAGCTTTACTTTAAAAAGACCTGGCCATTTTTACACGTATCCTTCGAATGCTCTCATCAGCTGCCGGTGTTTTCTATGTGTTTTGTTAGCTGACATTATAATACAGCGACATTTTAAAACGGTCAAGCAATTTTCTGATTGCATCCTTAGTAAGGTTGCTCACTCCCTCCACTCTGAACTAATGGCTGCTAAGCCTTCCCGTACTATGCGCCGAGGCTTCCGTCATATGTCTTGCTGTACATCGGCATATCAGCCGTCTGTACTCCCGTTCCTAGCACGCTACCTCACGTGGGAAGAAACGGAATTTGAGAAGTTTAAAGCCAACCTGTCTCCATAGTAGATGTGGATATCGTGTAAACCTTTAATTTTGAGCATTCTATGACCTTTTACCATGACCCCTTACTTACCTTATCACTTGCTCTTTCCGTGGATGGAGCCATTTTTGCTGAACGTTTTTGGGTATTCCCTTCGAAATAAGGCATTCTCTCTCTCTCGGTCCTGTCTGTAGGCCTGTCGTTTCGGCCGTGTGCAGCATCTGGAGCAGCTGATCGCATACGGCGCGGACATAAACAGTCAGACAACCTTCAACGGCAACACTCCACTGCACTTCTGTGCCTATAACGGCCAGGAGGCCTGTGGACGTCTGCTGCTGTTTCGCGGAGCCGACCGCAACCTGAAGAATCGCGCCGGACATACTGCCTATCAGGAGGCGGTGCTGGCCGACCACGCCAGCACGGCTGCTCTGATTCGTGATTTCCGGGAGGAAGATGTCGGTAAGCCCCGGGGGTTTCAGCTTCATGCTACAGAGTTGTTTTAAGCAGTGAAAGAAATTTCGCAAATATTCCAATTTTGGCAAAAGTAGCGTATGCAGTTCCCGTCATTAATCCTTACTTCCAGCATGTTGTCCTACGAAAACGGTTGTTGTAGTGTTTTATTGGTGGGATATTAGGATACGGGGTAGAATATACTTTAATAACTGCTATATGCATTTATATTTTATTGTATTTAGAAGTGTTGTTGATTTATATCTGTAGATTTTCCTAA